TTCGTGCGAGTGTGTGAGTCGAAGCCTTTAACATCAAGCAAAAGGTGGAGCGAAGCGGCGGGCAGCAAAGCCGTTCAGAGCCCTGGCTTGCACCTCACCCTGAACCCCCACCCCCGAGAGCCAAGAGTCGAAACCTAGAGCCCCGAACCAAAACAGGGTTTAGGGTTTTAGGGTCTGGGGTGTAAGGTTTTAGGGTTTGGTGCTTAGGGTGTAGGGTTTTAGGTTCTAGGGGTTCAGGGTTTAAGGTTTTAGGTTTTAGAGTTCAGGGTTTAGGGCTAAAACAAGAGGCTTAGGGTCTTAGGGTTTAGGGTTAAACTATTGAAAAACACGAGAAAGTCTCCAGAGGAAAGCTGTCCTTGACCCCAGAGTTTCCTTATCCCAGAGTCCTTGACCCAAGACTCTTCCTCTCAGGGGTCCTGTCGACTTTTCGTATTTTGGGGTTTCCGAGCAGTTTTAAAGGGATCTCACGGAAATCGTCTATGCATGCTGAAACCTAGAGCTTACATAGAATGCTGACTGCCGGACATACATCCACGGTGCTTTCCAGAAATTTCCGTTCTGCGCAGAAGACTCCCTAAACTGTAATTAATACTCGCGCGCGGCCATCCTTCGACGAACTCTGCATCGATTTTATGGTTAGTCCTTAAGCTTATAGCACTTAACGAGTGCGTGTTCAGGGCTTAGGCTTGGTAAAGCTTGCTGAAGTCGGCAGCAGCGTGCAAGTTACAGCAAGGATGCTCTTGGAGCGGAGTGCAGATGCTTCAGCCGTGGATGCCAGCTGGCTGACAGTTTCAGATTCCAAATCTGCCGGTTGATTCTCATGTTTCCAAGGTGGAGCAGTGGAGGAAATAGATATGCAGAGTATGTCTGCCGAGTATTCCGGTATTTTGTGCGACCCACCATTACCCCATACTTCGGGTTCAAAGACGCCAACGGCGACGTGATAATTGGGAGTCAAGGGCTCAAAGCAAAATGGCCCTAAACACACCCTACCCCACCGAGAGCGTACGCCACATGATGACGTGGGGTAGGTTGAACTGTTCAGGGTGTACGGTCGCAGTTGAGCTAGTTCTGGGCTGTATGGTTCAGGGTTTCGGATGTAGATAGTTTGAATGAGCAGTGGCCACCACTCTTTGGCCCGCTTGCGAAACAGGCTTTAACATACAGGGTTTAGGGCCCTCAACCCTAAACCCTAAACTGCTAAGTAGGAGGCAAAAGGGTTTAGGGTCCCCAGGCGGAAGCCCGCCTGACACTCTAGCCCTCCCAGAGGCCGTAATGACCCCCAGATCCTAAACACGCGAAGAAATTGAAAAGCAGTTGTCATTGTAAAAGTATTGCTATAACAACTTCGGCTAAAACTAAAACCCGTATAAGAGTTGACGACGTTTCGTAAAATAGGAGTAGTAGTAGTAGTAGTA